TGTAGTACAAATTAATATCCAGTCAAAAATAGAAGACTGAAGTCAAAATGAGGAGGAAGTTCTTGTATTTTATTGCAATGAAATACGGAAAACAGTTAGGCCTAAAAACCCATCAAAACTGACTGCTTTCTGTAAAACAGTATAAAAATAAAATATTTTTTAAAAAACAACTGACTGCTTTCTGAGCCCAACCAGGAAATACATGAAGTTAAATACTTAAAATGACATCATCATATCATCATCATGGGAATAATATTCGAAAGGCATAATTGGTTACAGAAACTTAAACAACATTTACATAAAAATTCCCTTATTGGTCTAATGTAAGAAAGGTGTGCCTATGCAATAGCGTCACATATTTACTTGACATAACCTAAGTCATATCGGCCAAGGCTTGTTCTCACCCAACAAGGAAAAGATCCATTGTGACCCAGACACTATGCAGTTATAACCTAAATAATTAGAACCACGAACCTTATACCTACTTTTATGCTAAAAGAATGTTATTGTCTTGTCTGTTAACAGCAACTGGAAAAATCCCCTTGACAGAAAAGACAAGAGGCCTTCTATATACCAGGCCTTCATTATATTCCAATAAAAAGTTAGATCTCTAATAAACCTAATACATCTATATAATCCCATCTGTACTACAAATTGGCCACAGATTCCAGGATGTTGTAGAGACCCTTGACCGGGGCTCTGCCTGTCGCTCCTTCAGCATGACCCAAGGCTTCACCCGTTGCCCCACTGCTGGAGGTGAGTCTGGAGCCAGACACCTTCAAAACATGTCTAGTTGAAAGTGTGATGGAAACTTCACATTTACCCAAGTACTGGTCCCCCAGTTTCATTAGAAATGTGCGTGTGGACGTTAATGCCTTTGTGTAGGATGTACGCGTGTTCACAGTCACACATGAACAGGGCTAATGCAATGCAGCAAGAGGAGGACCCTCTAGAGCTCATGGGGGGATCAGAAATGCTATTTCCCAGAGGGGTGATATGATTAAAACAAGCCCAAACCCTGTTGCCACCACTGCTGTGGCTGCTGGTCCTAGAAAAATAGTTGGGGCCACTGGTTCTCCACGCCAGTTCCTCGTTAGTGTGCTAATTGAATATGCCAATTGAATCCCCCCTCCCCAGCTTTTCCTCACAGCCCTGTGCCACTCCAGGCTGCCTGTCTCCTCTGTCCTGTTCCCTTGCCGCTGCCCTCCCAGCATGCTGATGGCATTGGGAATGGGGGAGGCAAGCTGGAGCCATCTTCAGCTTCCCCTGTCTGCTCCTGGTGGATGTCACTGGTGGGTGTGTGCGTACAATTTTAGATTGCTAGAGCAACCCAAAAGATCACCCAGATTCTAGGGGTTCTTTGATGTCTGACACATGTATGGATGTTGCTGTTTACTTTGGGGAGGGGTGCTACCCCTCAAAGATGTTCTTTAAAATTATATATATTAACAGCGGCTAGAATATTGATTCTAGCGGGAGATGATCCATGGGGTCGCGAAGAGTCGGACTCGACTGGGCGACTGAACAACAACAAAAGAATATTGATAGCAAAACGGTGGGAATCTAAGAATTTACCCTCTATAAAGGAACTAAAGTATAAAGTGTTGGAAATAGCGGAAATGGACAGAGTAAATATAGAATTACAAAATAAATCGGAGGAAAACTTTGGGGATAGATGAGGAATAATATATAACTGGCTGAAGATAAAAAAGATAGAAATAAATGGAAATTAGGCTAGTTACAGGAAGATACTGTAAGAGAAACCAAAAACTTGTTATATGAGATTTAGTTGTTGCTAAAATATGTTATTATGGAGATAAGTTGCTTGTGTTATTATATAAAAATGGAAAAACCAATAAATATAATGATTAAAACAGTAAAAAAAAGACATTCTTTAAAATTGAATTTTTCTGCAACCTTGGGAATTTCTGTGTACAAACGAGCATCTGTACCTCTTACCACAAGTTGCTCCCTGAAGCCACCTTATTCAAACTGAGGAATCAGTGGCACACAGGCGGAGGAGGGATCTCAGATTGAGACCCTGAAGAGCCACTGCCAAGTAGAGTAGGCAGTATTGGGCTAGATAGACCAGCAGCCTTTAACTTCATATGCTCAGTACCACCACCAGTTTCTGTTTGTAGAATCGTGCGCATTTGGGAGTCGGGACATTCTTGCTGGATCTGGGGAGGAAAGTCCTTTGGTCTTTGATCTAAATTGCACCTTGTGCAAGACATCCATTATCAGATTCGCCTGTGGATTTTTAAACAGGAAAGAAAGAGATTCAGATTTGGGTAATGGTGCAGAAGGAGGGTTTCCCTCCACCTTCCTTGCTGGAGCTGCTTCTTGCCCTGTAATGGGAACCATACCCATGCACAAGGCCAAAGTCACAGGTCTCCATATTGTGCATAGCTTGGCCTACTCTTTAAAGCCCCCAAAATGTTGATGTCAGTCTCCTTTGTGCCCTAAATGGACTGCAAATGGTAAAGCCTGGGGGGGGGGGCAGGGTGACTTTTACAGTTCATAATTACAGTGTGCTGAGTCCAGGAGGAAAGGGGGAAATTCCAGCTGATACAGATCAAAAGCCATTTATATGCATTTGCATGGCATAGGAAACATTGTCTGTGATACTTCTCTCCAGGGACTTGCTACATGGGCTCATGTGCATTTGAGGTGTGAAGCTTTTCTGATCAGTCCCTTGGGATTTGGGTGCTGGTTAAAACAAGAAGGGGAAAGGCAGTGCTGTAACGGGAGACTCTGAAGGATTTTCTTAATAGTTTGCAGCTATGGTGCAGTTGTTTTAGCCATCCTTGATGTGGCCAGGTGAGTTCCTACAAGGTTGAAGGCTTTATTTTCCCCTTAAAGAAATCAGGATCTGTTTTGTGTTAATGTAGGGGGTGGGTGGGCCAGATCCTTTCCCTGTCCAAACTATCTGAAGAAGAAGAAGAGAAGAAGAAGAGATTGGATTTATACCCTGCCCTTCACTTGAAGTCTCAGAGTGGCTTACAAACTCCTTTCCCTTCCCCTCCCCACAACAGACACCCTGTGAGGTGGGTGGGGCTGAGAGAACTCTGACAGAAACTGCTCTTTTTCAAGGACAGCTGTGCCAGAGCTTGTGACTGACCCAAGGTGCAAGTGGAGGAGTGGGGAATCAAACCCGGTTCTCCCAGATTAGAGTCCACACACTTAACCACTACACCAAACTGTGCAACTGTGCAACTGTTTTCCCCTTATGTCCTTTCCCCCTTTACCTTTTCAGATCTAATATTTCCACCAGCAAGGTTAAGCCATAAGCGACTTGCTGGCACTTCACACACTCATACACATACACACACATGACCAGTCCTCTGAGATCAGAAATGTTCACTTGTACTATGCTCTTCAAATTTATTTTCTTTTACAGAAGGCAGCCCAGATCTTTGCTCTTCTCCAGTAGTTCCAGCAAGAGATCTGAAGGAGCTGGAGCAAGGCACACAGAAGCCACACTCCAGTGTAAGAAATGTTACTTGAATATTAAGAACCTGAGTGTGTCCCCCAAACAAAAAAAGAGTGAAGCTTTAATTGGGAGTAAGGCCCATTGAAAATTCTGGTATTTATTTCTGAGTAAGCATGCATTTGACTGGGCTGCATGAATGTTAGCTGTACCATTAAGGGGGGCGAGGAACCTGGATAAGCAGAAATTCATTTGTCCAATAAGCATTTAGGATTTGAGGAGGGTGAGTTTCTTAAAGGAATGGATACCTGTGTGAAAATCTCTGCACTGCATATAGAATGTTTGATGGGCCACCATGCTTTAAATTGTATTGAAGTATAGTGTCTTTATCTCCTTGACAAGGTACCCTCAGGGTTCCTTTGTGTACTCTGATGTGTGGCAGGTTGTCCCTTGACTGTGCCTGGCCTTGCCAGATGTCCATTACTATAAAGGGATGTGTAAGACACAGGCTTCGGGCTCTCTGCCAGTCATAGGTGTTCATCATTTATCCATTTAAACTTATTTAACATACATAAACAATTACTTACCCTATAACCCATACACCATCCCCCCTCCTGTGGCTTCCCGCAATGCTTTCACCCACTTCCCCTTATTTATATATATTTCATCAATTTCTAATACCATATTTCTAATCCCTTTAAAAGATAACAATTTTTTACTTAGTATTGTTCTAAACATAGTAATTTTTTTCTCACATCCCAGTTCTTTTCCAGATAGTTCTTAAAGTCTTTCCATTCTTCAAAAAATTCTTCGTCTTCTTTGTTGTTTAATTTCTTAGTAATTTTGTCCATTTCTGCCATGAACAGAACTTTGTGAATCCAATCTTCTATTTCTGGTACTTTTTCAAGTTTCCAATGTTGCGCATATAGCATTCTTGCTGTCGTTATTAGGTACCAGAATAGAGTTCTTTTTTCCACATTAACTTCTTCCATTTTTAGTCCCAAAAGCAGAATTTCCGGTTCTTTTTTAAAAGAGCATTGTAGTATCTTCTGCATTTCACTATGAATTTTTGTCCAAAAGTCCATAGCTTTTTCACAAGTCCACCACATATGGTAAAATGAGCCTTCATGTTTTTTACACTTCCAACATCTATTAGACATATTTTGATTCATATTTGCTATTTTTTTCGGAGTCATGTACCATCTATACATCATTTTATAACAATTTTCTCCCAAACAAAAAAAGAGTGAAGCTTTAATTGGGAGTAAGGCCCATTGAAAATTCTGGTATTTATTTCTGAGTAAGCATGCATTTGACTGGACTGCATGAATGTTAGCTGTACCATTAAGGGGGGGGGGAGGAACCTGGATAAGCAGAAATTCATTTGTCCAATAAGCATTTAGGATTTGAGGAGGGTGAGTTTCTTAAAGGAATGGATACCTGTGTGAAAATCTCTGCACTGCATATAGAATGTTTGATGGGCCACCATGCTTTAAATTGTATTGAAGTATAGTGTCTTTATCTCCTTGACAAGGTACCCTCAGGGTTCCTTTCTGTACTCTGATGTGTGGCAGGTTGTCCCTTGACTGTGCCTGGCCTTGCCAGATGTCCATTACTATAAAGGGATGTGTAAGACACAGGCTTCTGGCTCTCTGCCAGAATACCCAGGTTCAGGCTCTACGCTCCGGTTTGGCAAATCAGGCAAAAATGCTTTTATTATCAAAAAACAACAAAGGCAACCTCAATTAACAATACTTCAAGGAAAAACGAAAATTCCACATCCTTCAGGGGGTTGCCAAAATACAAAGAGTAATTAAAATCAACTGGAACTTACAATGACTCCACAAGGTAGGAAAACATCCTGCCCACCAGACGCGCGCTACCTTCCCCACACACACACACACCTTTTTGCTATTTTATCTTTGGAAGGACCTGTTAAGACGCTGCCCCTCCCTCTCTCCAGTGCAACTGTCAATTAAGAGATCTCAGCTGTGAAGCTCTTGCAAAGCTGAGTACCGGACAGTTCCTGTAAAGACTTGCAAGGTCGATCCTCCCCCTCCTGCCGTCCTTCAGTTCTACAGTGTTGCTGTGTTACAGACAAGTTGGTGTCTTCCTTACAGGATGTTCCCTTTTCAGTTTGCACCACTGGATAATTATGAATGCTGAATTATATTTGAGAGCACTGTAGCACCACTGCAGCCTGGGACATAGAAACCAGGTTTTGTAATCAGCTATATTTGACCTTATTCACTAAACTAGAGAAGGGCTGACCTCTTGCTGTTCACCTTTGCTCAGAGAAGTGTGCTACATTTTAAATTATAATTTTTAAATGATAAGTGACCAGGATGAGCAATTTTAAAAAAATTCATGTCAAATAGAGTAATGGTCCACTCTGTTTGCCTGGGATGTAAGAGGTCTGATTCTTTCTGCAACATCTCTACAGGGGTCGTCATCTGAATTTGAAATCGTTGGTGCTGACGATAAGAAATCTTCCCAGGAGAGCAGCAAGAAATTGGTAAGAAAGTGCAAATGTTCCTTTAAAAAATCCAAAGGAATTGCTGTTTGAAAGTTCTATATAAATGGTATGTTGAGATATTTTTTCATATTCTCCTCCTGCAATTTTGGTAGATCAGGATTGGGGGGTGGGGTGGATATGAAGAGAAAGAAAACCAAACAAGGCAGCAGGCTGATTATTGTTGTTATTATTCTATAAAGTATTTTACAGATCAACATAAGCAAAAGCAGCAGCACCAAAACCTTGCAATCTACAATCGGACAATGGGGGAGGCAATGAAAGGTGAAGAGAAAAGGGAAGGCTTTGACCCAAAGCATTCCCACCTACTTAGGATTCATTTCAGTAGATAGGAAAGCTGCAGATGATGCTCCATTTCCAAAATGTTTTCCCTGACTTTTGCTTTTCCAAAAACACAGCACCAAGTCTGTATCCAAAGTTTCTGAGATGGGAGCCACTTATTTCTCTCCCTGTAGGCTGTTCTTCCTATCAAAATTGCACCCTGCCATACCCCACCCCACACACACACACACACAGGGCAAAAATGTTATGAGTACTTGCTCTTGTGGTGTAAAAAGCTGCTCAGTTTGGCCGTTAGGGAATTTTAGCAAAAACAAAAATACCCCACAGGGTAAGAAAAAGTGCCCTTGTCTTCCCATGAACTGCATACCCAACTTGCAGATTCCAGTGGCTGTTTTGGGTTATTTATTTTATCCTTAAAAGGATTAGAATCACTTTGCTGTGGTTGAGCATCACATATAGCTTGCTGTTGAAGCTTCCTGAGTCTGTGGCTGGGCCACCAGCTGGGATTTTTGCTGCCAGCCAGAGAGGCTGTAACCATGCACGTGCCGCATGATTTCTTCGGTTGGCCCCTTTCCCAGAACAAGCTGATGGGAACTGTCCGATCGAGCAAGCTGAAAGTGCTGTTGTTGAGAGGGGTTTTTTTGCTCATATATGCAAAGCTGTTTGTGTTGGCTGGCTACTTCCTTGTCCCAAGCTAGTGGCACAGGCGTTCTCACAGACCTGAGCAAAATCAGCCTCTGTGGTGGCAGAAAATACGCATCAGACAGGATGCTGAGACATCCCTGAGGAAGGAGGCTGTAAAAACCCTTAGTGATGAAATGGCCCAAAGCAAGCTAGTGAAGCCTTTACCACTTTGAACAAAGTGGAACAGGGTCCTTTTGGCCCTTGCCTGAAGCATCACCCATTTTTAGCACCGGTCACAAGGACTGTCCACCATGTCTCTCAGTGCTATCTGAAGAGTTCAAAGTCTTTAGGATTCTGAATGGTGGAGAACTGCTGTTCTTTTCTACTTCTGTCGGCAAGGAGGTGAGGTTTGGCAAGAACTTGGTCTTTATCATGGGGCCTACTGCAGGCGTCTGGTCCACCAATAGCCCATTTATCATCCACTAAGGCAAGGGCCTTCTTGGTGATTGCCCCCGCCCCCTGGACCAGCTCCCCAAGGAGGTTCGTGCCTTGCACGCTCTGGTAAGTTTTCGCAGGGCATGCAAGGCTGCCTTGTTTTCTGCAAAATTTAATTAACTAAGAGCATGGGTGAACTGACTGGCTGTTCAGATTTGTGCCAGAGCTGAGAACTGGTTGAATTTTAATTAAAACTCTGTTTTACTGTATTTATAAGTTTTATTTTCTATTCAAGTCCCAATACTGTGTTTGTGTGTGCTGTGAACCACCCCAGGTCCTCTGCTGAGGAGAAGGTGCGAATTATAAATCAAATTATACTTTTACATTAGTGGGGGAGAGTGGGATATAAATCAAATAAATAAATAAGGTAAGAATATTTCTGGAGTTTCTACTTGTTCAATATTTGCTTATTTATATTTACCCACTTTATCTCCAAAATTATAAAGCTTAGCAACAAAACCAGATAACTCCTTTTACCTCCCATTCCCCAAGCCCTTGATATCTCAAGCCAAATCAAACTGAGGATTTGCCAGCTGTAAGTTTCCCCTCCTCAGTAAGGACTCCACCACAGTCCTCTAGCTTGAAATTGTTCTTCAGGCCAATGGCAGAGCAAGAAATTAAATTTAAAATTTTGCCCAAATACAGTTCCTGTACTAAGCCTAAGCACAATGGCAGAGCAAGAAATTAAATTTAAACTTTTGCCCAAATACAGTACTAAGCCTAAGGAGAAAAAGCAGCTTCTCCCTAAAGGAAAAATTAATACCGCCATTTCATAACAAGGGACAAACCTTCCTCTCTGAGCCTGTTTTATTCCCAGAGCCAAGTCCCTCCTGCTCAGTATGACCCTTGTGTTCCCTTAGACTGTCATGCAGAGAAAGGGGGAATCCTAACTCAATTATTCTCCATTTGTAGCAGAACAAGTAAATTAATGTATTGATGTTGAGCCAGCTCATGCGGGGGCGGAGGCAAGAGGAAGAGGTTAAAGGAAATAACTGTTACAAAAAATAATAATAAAACACCTCTTTTTGAGATCTGAGGTAGGTGTGGAACATTTAAGGGAACAAGGTGAGGCAAATAGCCTTGTATGTATCAGACAGACAATATGGGTGGTGTACTGTCAAATGTTTAGTATACTGTTTTTCACCCTGCTTGCTGAGGATGAAGTAGGTAAGGAGTCTTCCTGTCCCATCTGGCTAAATCAGTGTCGTGTCAGTCATGGTGACTCCTGCCACAGGATTTGGCTGGTTATGCTTTGGTGAGCGCAAATGGTTCTCAAACCATAGGTAGCAACACTTTACTTGTTGTTTCTACTAATGATAGATGTGATTCTCCACATCCCAGGGTTTGATTAATTGTTTCGACAGTACATGAAAACCCCCGAAGGTTCTGTGTCTGCCTTGAGCTGTACAAATTCTGTACTGCTAGTGAAGCTGCTGTGATTTTTTAAATTAGAAACTTATTCACGCGGCCTTGGGAATTATTCTTCAGATGTACTGAATATCCTGAGGTAAAAGACGCACAGGTTTGGTGAGCAGGAAGCACTGCTGGAAACCATTGGGCTTAATTTAAAGAACAGCAGAATTTCATCAACTTAGACATTATGTGGCGTACAAAAGTGAAAATGAAAATTCAAGGGATGTATAGAAACTTTAGACGAGTTAATAAGAGGGCAATGGAGAACAGAATTCAGATGCTGACTGGGAGATCAAAAGAGAAACTGAATGACAAGTTGCTGCTGCTGCTCTCAAGTGAGATTTCCTGAGCCTTTGGAAGTGTTCAGGATTACTAAAAAGAGCTTCTAAAGATACTGGATTCTGAAGAACACAGTTTGAGTCCAGTGGCACCTTTAACACCAACAAAGTTTACTGGATTCTAGTGTTTGTTTGAAAGCTGTCCTTTCTGTAGGAAGCTCATTTTCAAAATAACATCTGTCAGATTCATTATTGTTAATATCTGTGGGAGTTTCAGCGGCTATAGACTTTGGGGGGGAAATCTGCAGAGAGTCAGTTTACAGATTACAAAGCTGTCATGGCCACCACAGTGACTTTGTACCACACGAGTGGCAGAGTTTTGTGCCTCCCAGGTGCACAGGACTGTATTCCAGTTATGACCACATGGGACACATGGAGAAGGGGCTTCAGCCTTCATCCCCCACGTGATTTTCACAAACTGAAATGACCGCTGGGAGCTGCTGTTTGCTCCATTTTGTTTCCCAGCCCAAGCAAATAGCAGCTCCCCGATATTGTTTTAGTTCATGTAAACAGAATAGGTATGGGAGGCTGAAGCCCCTTCCTCCACACATGCCACAGTAATGATCAGAATATGGCCCCTGCATTCCTGGGAGGTGCAGAACTCCCAGCGTGTGTGTGTGTGTGTGTGTGTGTGTGTGTGTGACACAGAGTCACTGTGGTGGCCTTGAGGGTTCTGTGTCATGTGACTCAGCCCTGACAAGCCACCCTGAGGGCTGCATTTGAAAAGTACCACGCTGTAACAGTATTTCTTCCTACCAGCCTTGTATCCTATGTCGGTCTTCCTTGTATGTTTTACTCTTCTGTCTCACCTTGCCAGTGGTAGGGATACAGCTCTTGTTTTAGTGTCCAAATGAAAAAGTTACGAAGACTGTTTGACTAACTAGGACACACACCCCCCTGGCCTGGAGTACCCTTGTCTTCTCTGGAATGACTTGTCTTGGAACTGAAAACAGCTTTTAGGCTCTCTGGTTCCATGTATGAGTCAGCAGCAAGAGCTGTGAGAGATAGACAAGGTCTCTTGCAAGACCAGGGGAATTTCTTTTCTGCACCAAGTTCACTGGGGCAGATTGCAGAGAGGAGGAGATGATGAATCAGCTAATAAATCTTGGGTGAAAGGTGGTACTTCCCCGCCTTTCCCCTTTGGAGATTCCTTAGGCTGTATGTGAGGTGACTCTCTTAGCTGGCATGCAGCCTACCCTGTACAAACTAAGTATGCCTAGTCAGGGTGATAACAGTTACCTGTTCAGAAGTCTTAGTTCAGTGTGAAGGCTGGAGTTTCCCTAGCAACTGCGCAAACAACCTTTGTAATCCGGGCTAGCTTGCTTCTCAGGAACTCTGCTGTGAAACCAAGAGGCATGGGAGCATCCACGTAAGTCAGAGGGTGTGGTGATATGCATTTGTAGGCCAAGAGCACAGGTGTGTCATGATCTGGGGTACTAGTTGGTTCTTTCTTACGAAGGCAGTACATTTCATCTGGAGAGTCTCTGTGAGCAAAAAACCTGAATACCCTGATGCTTTGGGATGAAAATTGCTAACACAACTGCCAAGGTAAATATTGCTGTGGAAGACCAGGAGTTGTATTGTAGAGGTTGGGGAAAGGGTGTTCAGTTAAGAACGAGAGGATGAAGAAAGATCAGTTGCGTGTGGCAGAATGTGAGCACTGTAATGATAGCTATGGAGTAAATCTTAGTTGCGTGTGGCAGAATGTGAGCACTGTGGAAATGATAGCCATGGAGTAAATCCTGGGATGAGTAAATCCTCACCCGGAAGTGCATGCCAGAGTGCAAAATTCATTATTTTATTGCTGAGCTTTATGGGTGACTTTATCATCATATTGGGGCATCCTTTCGCGATGGATAAGAAGGGAAGTGTTTCTTACTAGTATCCCTGCGACTTCATTTCCAGACAAAGCAATCCGGGGCCAGAACTGTCACCCTTCCATTGAAATGCTGTTATTTAATAATCAGTATGTAGGTCCAGGCTGAAAGGTCAGAGCTGCAATTTTTGTTTCTCAGATTCTATTACTTGTCAGTAGTACTGAAAATATACTTTGAAACTGAGTCCAAAATATATGCCAAAGGCTCTCCTAGGAACGGGTCAATGGGGAAAGGAAAGTGATGGACACTCTAGCCTGAATGGGTCCCTGAGTATTGCATTGTGCACTGAGAGTCACATCATGCTTTTTCAGCACCTCCAAGAGGCTGTCAGAAGCTTAGCCCAAATCTGTTGAATGGGAATCTGAAAAACATGACAGCTTCAGGTGTTAGTAGAAGCTTGATAGCAAATTATATGTGGCAACCCGTTTTAGGGCTTTTGGGTGGTTGGAGCATATCACACATATTGTAACCCTGTAGGGATGAATCCGTATTATTATCCCCATATTGCATATAAGATGCTGACACTGAGTGAGAGAGCAAGTTGACTGCACCCTCCTGGTGACTTTGTGGCCGAGTCAAAGTTTAAATTAGGGATTTCCTGATTTGTAGCTCAGTCTCTTGGCTGCTGTGGTAAACCAGCTCTCTGCTGTCTATAGCTATGGTAGAACCTGTATTCAAGTGGAATAGTAAATGCAAATGGGATAAATGATAAAAGGGTGAAAGAGGCATTTATGGTGCACTGAGTATACTGAGGAATACTTTGAACAGTGCTAACAAGGGAAGGAAAAGGGGACTAAATCCTGGGTCTCAGTATTGCAGCTCAAGTTAACTTCCATGAAAGGTTCCAAGCTATGCTTTGAATAACAGCTTAAGCATCACTTTATGTTTCGACTGGTTCCCAAAGGTTCCTAAATTTGGATTACCATTTCCTACGTTTCAGAAGAGTGCTTGTCCCTGATACCAGGCCTGTCACTCCAATTTTAAAAAAATTAATAGTTCAAATTAGCATCAATTTGCATATGGATAAAACATCTATTTCAAAGGTAAGCCATTTATTTAGTTTTAGATGATGCACGCGTGCTATAGCAGGAACCATCTTAGAAGAGGCATTCCGTCCTCTGTTGGTTCCTACTAGCCATGATTTTTGTTAAGACTAATTTTTTTTAAAATGTGCAGCCTGATTAATTAAAGGCACATCTTAATAAACTTGAAGATTAATTGATGAATGAGCTATCTGATCAATCAACTAAATGTTGCAGTTCTAAAATCTAAAATGTTTACCAGCCCTAGAGTAGTGAACATGGGATTAACGTAGCACTAGAAAAACACTTGAGAATCTAGAAAAGAATGGAGTACTCGTTAAGGCAGACATAGGTGGTGACACACCGTCTATCCAGGCTCTCAGTGGTAGTGGTTCTGGTTTGAGGAGAAGCAGGTAGATCCTAAAGCAATAAGAAACTCAGTTTATTTCAAAGCACAAATGAATGAAATGGAAGATGTCAAGCCACTTGTCTAACGTTGCCTATCTTGTTCTCTTTCTCTTTTCCCTGCTGACCTTTTCAGAACATAGAGCCATTTCATAACGAGGACAGCAACCTCATGCTTCACCTCCAGCGCCTGGAGAACACTCTCAGCCTCTTTGCTGAGGAGTCCGATAAAAACCAGCTCTTTGCCCACCTGGGTCGGATGGCCCTGGAATTCAACCGTCTGTCCTCCAAAGTGCACAAGAATGAACAGAGGACATCTATTCTTCAGGTCCGAGGGCTGCTGGTATCTGTGCACGGTTCAGTTCCCTCTTCTCGGTCTTTCTGAAAGCTCACCTTGTTTCTTCTTTCTTTTTTCTCACTCTAATAAGTTTTACTGAGGACCAAAACAGATGTGATACAGAACATGAGTAAAATGCTCATCTCTGTAAACATTTGGTATATATTCCATCACAGTTATATGTACTTGAGAGGTTGCCCTTCACCTTTTACCCTCCCATCAACAGTGTGAGATAACTTAGACTGAGAGGTGAGTGAGTGCCCCAAGGTCACCAATTGACCTTGACCATAACTGATCTTCTGGAAGAGCAGGAATTCATACTAGGTGTCTCCACCATGTGCATTTGTGTATTTGTAGGTAACATTACCATGCCAGTAGCACATCCACAGCATAACATCTGTTAGATGCCATCATATTTGAATTTCCCTTAGTTGCTCTATTTTAAAAAATGTTTTAAATGGCTGGCTCAGTGTCATTCTTCCTGTATTACAGATGTGAGGCTGAGGCGAAGAAATTTTTTATTGTGTAAGATCATGTAGCAAATTCTGAACTTCTTCGAGGCTTGTGGTGGGAACTTCCAGATCACAACTTCTTGTCTGTTGCTCGTTTTACACTAGCTTTGATAACAATAGCTAAGCAATTCTGGAATGTATATACCCTTACAGGGTTGCCACTTTCTGGAAAGTCAGGGAAATTAAAATTGGTCAGGGAAAGTCAGGGAAATTGGCCTGAAGTCAGGGAAATTGTGATTAAAATATATTCAAGCAGTGGATTTTTGACCTACTGCTGCAAGAGCATGATCTGTTCTTGTGGCAACTGGAATAAAGAAGTAGCAGAATACAAGTAGAACTTTATGATGCCCTTTCCCAACCATTTTAGATAGAACATTTATATAATTTTTAGTGTACCTTTAAAACAGTAACAAACATGTTATGTCATTTGTTAGCATTCAGAGTTTACTTGAATTGAAATTTGTATCTTGGTGTAATTTTTGGTGCAATTGCAAAGCAGATGTTGCTGCAGTTAATGTTGAAAGAAGCTGATATTAAATCTCTTTGACAAATATTTTTGCAGTTGAGACTTGTGTAGTTGTAGAGTGGAACCTTACCTTGCATTAATGCAATACGACCAGTGTCCCCTCTAAGCTGAGTTAGTGTGAGCTAGCGCACAGTTTTTTAGCCTCCAGCTCACACATTCTTGTCTTAGCACAGGAAGGAGGGCTCCGGAGTAAACTAATTTACGCAGTAGCCGAATCGCTCGCTCACAACTGTTAGTTTTGAATGGTGGTCAGGGAAATTGGTCAGGGAAAGTCAGGGAAATGAAAGATAAACTTTTAGTGGCAACCCTGCCTTATCATTCCATCACCCTGGTCACCTTTGAAGTACCTCTGTTTGCTGAAATGCTCTTCCGTGTACCAAAGCCATAACAACCAGCATGTAGCAACACACCAATCCAAAAACAGTATCAGTCTTAAAAATAGAGTTTCAGACTTAATTAGTACATTAGATTATACTAAGTGCAAGATAAATATCAAGTTGTACCACAGGTTACTGGGACAGAGAAGCAAAAATAAAAAACATAAAAATTAGGTGTTGATTAAGAGCTATCTCCTGCACCTGGGTCTCTTGTAAGGGACAGAGCAGTAGTAAAGAAAAACAATGTATGTGCAGTACTGGAGATGAATTTTAGGTGGTACATTTCTGTAGCCGTTTAACTCAAAGCTGGATCACTGGTCCACCTATCTGAATATTATCTGTTCTGACAGGCAGCAGCTCTCTTACTTACCCATACCTGAGATGCCAGAGACTGACCTGGGGACCTTCTGCATACCAGCAGGTTCTCTCACACCAGGTCAAGGCTCTGCCATAATTGATAAGTTATTCTCCAGCACCCCTTTTCAGCTTCCAAACAGGTTCTCTCACACCAGGTCAAGGCTCTCCAGCACCCCTTTTCAGCTTCCAACAAGGATGTGAAGCCTTCTGGGTGTTATGATGCATTCCTTTAGTGAGGTAAATTTCTAAGCATCAGAAACATTTGTTTCTTAAGGCCACAAACTAGTCACTGAAATCTCTGAGTAAGGAGGCAGACTGTTCTCTAGGGCAGGTTATTGTGTACTTGCTTGTTTTAAGAGAACATATATGCTTTCCCCCCCTGATAAACTGCACAAGAGGAGTTGACAGACTGTTGAACCTTTGTTCCCTAATAATGATGCTCATCCCTTTTTCTTAGAAATTCTCCTTTCCCTGTGGCTGATGAATTAAATAGATCAGCTATAAGTGCATGTCAGAATGGGAACAGAGTTAGCAGAACTCTGGACTAAGAAATTCAAATTCTACTAATTCAAATATGGCTGCTCAGTTAAAGCAATAAGTAACCTATTGGTGGAAACTCCATGGCAAATGTATGACTTAATTTTATACACTGATACACTGTATTTTCTTTGTTTAAAAATAGGCATTGTGTGAGCAGTTACGGAACGAGAATGAAGAGCTGAGAGCAAAGCTGGAGAAGGAACTGGAGAAAAGGAACCAAGCTTCCGAGAAGCTGAAGTAGGTGCATGTCAAACGGGAAAGAAGGGGGTGGAAAAGAGAGAATGCAGAATAGAGCAGCCATTCAGGGAGCTCAGTTTAATTTCAGTTTATTTTTATAGCTGTCTGCATGCCCACCAAAGGCATCCAAAGTGGTTCACAATCAGAAAGTCGGTAAGATCAGAAGATATGTTAAAACACTCTACTAAACCATCAGTCTTGTAAAAGCAGTAAAAACGGATCAGAAACCACAATCAGTTAAAACAGAGTCTCAGCAAGGATGAATCAAAGGAACAGTAAAAACAATCCTGTTCCCAGCAAGGTCCGTTTCTCTCTTCCAGGAGAACTGAGCTGCTCTGCAGGATGAGTGTGGCCAGGACACAAATAGGGCATCCTAACCCGTAGCTACGGTGGGGGTAGTGGGGGCTCTGCCCCCTTCTTTAAAGCCCTCCCCCGCTTCTTCCCAAAATCATTAAAAAGGTTCCTTTAAATGCTTTTGAGAACAAGTGGGGGGTGGCGCGTGCCCCTCTCCTCCTCCTCCTCCTGCAAGGTTTAAAGGGCCCTTCAGCTGATCTGTGGGGAGCATGTGGCCTGCCGATCAGCTGGAGGGCCCTTTAGATCTTGCATGAGGGAGGGAGAGGGGCTCTCTCCACCACCCCCTTCATTATGGCAAACAATTTATTTATCCTTCCATTTGTATACCGCTCACCCCCTGAGGGCTCTGAGTGGTTCAAGACACAACAGCCTAACCCGCCGGCCACTCGGGGGGGGGGGGGGGGGATGACTAACCTACCAGGCACCCTTTGTACAATGACAGCCCCGCCAGAAAAAAAATTGCCCCTCAAGCCACAAAATCCTGGCTACGGGCCTGAGGGTATCTGTCCTACGAAGGGGCTTAGACCTGTCTAAAAAAAAAAGCTTAAGGCCCTTTTGATGTCCAGGCAGTGCCACTCCTTCTCCCTACCATGCTTGGCCAGGGAATCCCAACTCCCTGTGAGATTTCTCAGCTATTCCCCCACGGCCATGGTCATGACCTTTTGGGTTTTGGGGTTTTATTATCTATGTAGGATATTTCTCTGCCACCTCCTCAGAGTCCTACTCGGGGCAGTTTACAATTAAAAGCATGTCACAATACTAAAAACAAGCCATTAAAAACACACTATTGAATATAAACTGTAGAAACTATCTATAAAACAGAAACAGTGTGCGACAACAATAAAAAAAGGCAAATGCTATGCTGTGCTGGGGATTATTAGGAAGGGGACTGGAAACAAATCAGCCAGTATCATAATGCCCTTGTATAAATCTATGGTGCGGCCTCATTTGGAATATTGTGTACAGTTCTGGTCACCACACCTCAAAAAATATAGCATTGAAAAGAGTGCACAAAAGGGCAACTAAAATGATTAAGGGGATGGAACACCTTCCCTATGAAAAAAGGTTAAAGAGGGTTAGGGCTGATGACTGAAGGGTGACATGATAGAGGTTTACAAAATTATGCATGGAATAGAGAAGGTAGAGAAAGAAGTATTTTTCTCCCTTTCTCGCAATACAAGAACACATGGGCACTCAATGAAATTAATGAGCAGTAGGCTTAGAATATATAAAAGGAAGTACTACTTCACCCAAAGAGTGATTAACACTTGGAATTCACTGCCACAGGAAGTGGTGGCAGCTACAAGCATAGACAGTACTCTCCAATGTTGGCAAAACAAACTTTGGGAGCACTTTATATATGGTAAAATTGTCTCTCACCAAAAAAGTTTTCAAGCAACTTGGTTCCCAGTGGTGAACTATCTAGCAGAAGAAGAAGTGATTCCAAACAACTCTTATTACAAAGATCTGTTATATTTTTAAAAGGGCTCTTAAGGGTTGAGAAAGTTGATTATTGCATAGCGTCAATATATGTTATGAATGTACTGTTGTACAGGTCCCACTTGGAGGTTGGCAACCCTATGTCTGGGGCAGTGATGCTCTGTATTCTTGGTGATTGGGGGGTAACAGTAGGAGGGCTTCTAGAGTTCTGGCCCCATTGGTGGGCCTCCTGATGGCACCTAGTTTTTGGCCACTGTGTGACACAGTGTTGGACTGGATGGGCCATTGGCCTGATCCAACATGTCTTCTCTTATGTTCTTAACAGGCCATTAAAAAGCTGGTAAGATAAAACCCCTAATTAAAGCCAGGTAGAAAATTGAATTCTGGCCTGGCACCTAAAATAAAGTAAATTAGGCCCAAGCGAGCCTCAGTGGGAGGGTGTTCTGGGTAACCACCACACACACACACCTGGAGGCACTTAGAAAGGGAACCTCAGTAGCTTGTCCTAGCAGACTTGGACTCACCAGCAATACTCCCTCTAAGCTATGGAGTCTTGTGAGCAAAAATTCTACTTTGTGAGCTACTAGCATTAAAGTTGTGAGTGAGCAATTTGGCTACTGCGTAAATTAGTTTGCTCTGAGCTCCTTCCTGAGCGAAGACAAAAATATGTGAGCAGGAGGCTAAAAAACTGTGAGCTAGCTCACACTAACTCATATTAGAGGGAACACTGCTCACCAGTAAAGTTTCAATGCAGTGTCACACACACATGAAATAAAGGAGGTTATTTAACTAAATTTAACAAAATATGCATCCTGTGTACCAACATGAATGAGGCTAGAAAATATCCACTTAGAAGAAGTATAGTTTTTAAGGAAATATAACAGGAAAAGGAAATAGTAGTTCTCTAGAGTTGAAAGGTTTGTTAGCATTCCAACCTCCCACTCCCCCCCCCCCCACATACACACCATCCAGGGGAGAACAGGCTACCGTGACTCAAGGATGTTTCTTGCACTCTGCCTCCTGCATCTCTCTCTCTCAGTGCCTCAGCCTGCTATCTTCAGACTGATGGGTAGTTTAACATCTTTCCCTCTAAGTTGCTAGAACATGACAAAGCCAATCACCTCTCTGAGGCAGAGAATTGGGAAAGTCAGCCAGAATGATCCAATCCTGTAATGTTTTGCCCACCTGCTTTTTTTTGGCTACCATATGGAAATATAAAATCCATCATCTCCCTTCTTTGAAAGTGGAATCTATAAGTCCTTGCCCTCCCAGTCATTAGTCACAAACCTTGGCCATCTCCAAATTTCCCTGTCTGAAAAGGTGAGCTTTGACTCATGAAAACTGGAAGAAAATTGTTGGTCTTGTGAATTTTGGTCTTCCATGTTTCCCTGTGTGTTTCCTTTGAAGGCACTGCCCCCCCCTTACTCACAACAAAAACAACCATCCAATGCTTACAGAGGGAACAACATGACCACCATAAAAAAGAACATATAGCATGCTCTTGGTATCACTGAAGTTAATTGGAAGCCTAAACCCCATGATTCCTCTGTCCCCAGAATGTAGTCCCCCAAACCAATTCAGTTTTACAACCATCCGCACCAGCCCCTGGCTGTGGCATTAAGAGAGTCAGCTCTTTCAGAGGAGACCTATTGTGGAATGCCGGAGATTCGGTCAACTGATTTGTAAAGAACAACAAAATTTGGAGACAATTCCTGGAGCAAGGAAGGTGGTGGAAATGTCCTGATGATGATTGACGGTTGCATTTGATAGAGTAGAATGTGATGTAATGCAGAGCTTCAGGTTTAAAAGGGAATGCATGATGCAAATAGAGGTTATTTTTCGGAGAACACTTGCCCGAAGCTGTCGTTGGGCTTTTGAATTATATTTCCCCCATTATATGAGAAGATAGTGCTGATGAGAGAAGTCCCAAATCCTCTGAACCTCAGAATAGAGGCACCAAACCTTTGGTACAAGGAGTAATCCTGGTGTGCAATGAGAATTCCTAGAGAAATATCCCCCCCCCCCTCCTAGTACAGATTCCCTTCAAGAGCTAATAATCAGGATGGTTGTCACCCTAGAATGCCTTATTGGAAGGTGTAAGAGTTGATCATCTTCCTTTTTTGGAATCTGGGTATGTGTTAAGTTTTTTGCCTGTAAGAACACCATAGTGAAAAGGTTTTCTTGGCTGCTGTGGAGGTAATACTCAATTGCCTAGAAAGGTAAACCCAGGCAGTGGGCTGTGTTGGCTGTCTTTCATGCAAGGTATTTGGAGGTTCTCAAGGCCTTTGGACAAGTTGAGTTACAAACAGTAGTTTCTAATAACAAAGTTCTCATTGTATCCAGGCTTCAGGTGGGAAAGGCCAAGGTTTTGAACGGCCCAACTTAAGCTTTTCAAAATCGTGCTGGACAGTGTTTACATTCATTTTTGTCCAAGCTCAGAGCCAAAAGTGTCCTTTTTAAGTAATAGTTTTGCCTTAGTAACATGCTGCCTCCTCAAGGTGCTAGATTCTGAATTTCTTGTGCTCAGAGAAGTTTCTTATTGTTTCCATATTAGCCCCTAAGAATGAGGCAGTGTGAATATCTTGTACTAGAATATCTGGTTAATGAAACTGAGCAGGCCTGAGAACTTCTTTTGTTGGGCAAACTGATTAATGGTCTTATAGATGATAAAGCAAGTAAATGTGTTGGTCCATTAGTGCAAAATGTGCACAGAGAGTAAAATAATGTGCTTACTAGGAACAAACAAAATGCGAAATATAGAATGCAAGTTTTCAAGTTAGGCAAACGGAAATCTAAAAAAAGGTAGGGAAAGGATTCTGTGGGAAAGGTTAATGATATATAAGGTTGCCCACCTCACTTCAGCCAGAACCTGTGCCTTTTCTATCATAGCTCATACCCAATGAAGCAGACTCCATGAGAAGTTAAGGGGGCTACAATTTCTGGGAGATTTAAGGAGATGCTGCAAGTCCATTTTGTTTGCTAGAGCTTTTAGTGAAGTAGAAATGGAAGGCATATAGGGTGGAGAGGGGATTTTTGTTTTTGTTCAGTCGCACAGTCGAGAGGGGATTACTGGAATTTTAATGTAGTTAGTATGTTTTAGATTCAGATTTGTAAAGAGACCAGGGATGTGCATTCAGTATATACCGAATCAAATAAATACCCAGAAAATACCCTATCGTTATTTTGGGGGTATTTATTCAGCCAAAATACAGATTACACAATCTGATTCAGCTATCGAAATAGCCATGCCCGAATAAAAGTCAATATTAGTCTATTTAAATGCCTTCTGATTTTAAATGCCTTCTGAAAATGCTTTTTGGAGTGAAATTCTCTGTTTTACCCTATGGGCACGGTCCCCATGGAGTATAGTGGAGCTGAATAAATTCCGGTTTCCCAAATACCAATACAATACCGATACTGGTATTTGGGAATATTCTGGAATACCAATATTTTTCGGGTCCCATAGATCCAAATTGGGGAAAAAAACCCTTTTTTGTCTGCACACCCCTGTAATACATGTTTTGGCATCTGAGGATCATAATACGAATGGCACCACCCTTACAATAATAAGAATAAATCAAACAACTGGTAAATTGCTCTTTCATGAAACTCCCAGATCTTCTGCCTAGATTGTCCGCCTCAAAAGAGGGCCAGGCTAGACTTTAGAACTGGAGGCAATTTTAGTATAAATTAGGGCTAACAAGCTGAAACTTAATCCTGACAAACAGAGGTGCTACTGGTGGAGGGAAGGTTTGACCCAGGAATTGAGACATCTCCTGTTCTGGCTGGAGAAAGGTCATAGTTTGGGGGTGCTGGTGGCCCCAGGCCTCCTGTTTACAGTTACCAGACTCCCCAGTGGAGGTCCTCTACTGCCAGGTCCTGCCCCCCCCAGCCGCCAATCAGCTGGCCAGCAGGGGAACGTAAAGAAAAAAAGAAGACCTAGGCCATGTTGCAGCATCACACAGGAAGTGATGTTGTCCTGCCAGTAACTTCTGGGCAACACTCTGGTATTTGGGCAAAAACTCTATGGTATAAGCCAGTTTTACCATAGAGTTTTTGTCCAAGTACCAGAGCCTAGATATCGCTGACATGATGATGTCACTTCTGGTGTGATGCTGATGACATGGCCTGGGCCTTTCTCTTTCTCCTGGTAAGTCCCCCCCATCCCCTGCTGGCTAGCAGTCTGGCATTTGCTCACTAACTCTCATTGGCACTCCTCCCCTTTTTTGTTTTATTTCATTGTTTAAAATATTGTATACATATTTTTGTCTGTATTTTAAACTGTTTTAATCTTTTTATAGGGTTGCCAACTTCCAGGTGGTGGCTGGAGATCTCCTGGTATTACAACTGATCTCCAGGTGACAGCAATCAGTTCACCAGGAAAAAATGGCCACTATAAAAGGTGGACTCTATTTTGGGATATGACATTATGTCCCTATGAAATCCCTCCCCTCCCCAAACCCCACTCTCCTCAGGCTCCACCCCCAGAATCTCCAGGTATTTCCCAACCCAGAGCTGGCAACCCGAATTGTTTGCCACCTTGGGGATACTAAATTGGATTGAAAGAGAGCATACAAATGTTATAGATAAATAATCGACTCCCATTTTGACATACATGAATTTCTAGGGTTACCTGGCCTCCCGCTAATTGCTGCCACAGATTGCTGCCGCTCTGAGTGTCAGAAGAACAAATTTAGAGTCCAGAGGCACCTTCAAGACCAAACAAGGTTTATTCAAGGTATGAGCTTTCATATGCAAGGCACACTCTTCCAAATACATTGGAATGGTAGATGAGGTTCTAAACTTATAGACAGGGATTTAACAGCAAATTAACATATAACATGATGATGTTTAAGTTATGCAAATTGAAAAACTAAATAACAAGTTAAGGTTATAAGGTCAACAGTTGTAAAGCAATAAATGTCAAAATAGCAGTTAAATGTCTAAAGGTGTTTTTTTTCTAATTGTGGGAAGTAACAGAATCTTCATTATCTCCTCTCAGGCGTGGTTTAACCATAGAGTTCCCAGCGATTCCTAGACAGAAGGTGGTTCTCTGGAATAGAGTGGGATGGGCTACAGGAAGAACGACAACCTGGCAGAATTTGCCCCCTCCACTATTTTGCATTAGTACGTGGTCCATTGGTAGATCGCATCCAAGAGGGGACTGGGGTGATCTTAGCTGATTTCTCCCTGAATTTCGAACCCCTTGTGGTGCTGCAGATACAAGAGTCCCTTGACTCTCAGCTGCAGCTTGGATGGACATGGACCAGAGGAGAGGCTTTCTGGACCCCTTTTGTTCATAGTTTGTAGAATCCAAATGGTTCTCTCTCTGTTTTTTTGTTTGTTTGTTAAATAGCCATAGATATTTCTCTCCTTCCCAGTTGTATTTTGTACATGCTGTGGGTGGGGTGAGTGGGCCATATCTTTTGTATTTTATACTAGGTTAGGGAGGGAGAGGCATTGGTGCAACTGCTGGATTTATTGCTGTGATCTTCTTGAGTTGCTTGAAAAGACCGTTTTCTGGTGTCCACATTTTAGAAAGGAATCGTTCTGGAGAAAGCAGGAGGAAAAATCTCTTTGGGGACTAGTGAGAAGAAAGTGAGGATACTTGAGCACCAGCGCAATGAGGTAAGCCAGATGTTGGCCCTGTATGATGGAGTGTCGAGCAGACGTTCTCATAGGTTAGCTCATAGGGATGTGGATGTGTTTTAATGGTTTTGTTTTTTAACAGATGCATAGTAATGGTTTTGTTTTATTATCTTAGCAGTAAGCCTCAGGCAGATCCCTGGAGAGGTGACACAGACATTTTCTAAACAAACACATAACTGTAGCCAGGGCAGGGCACATAGGACCTTCTTTCCTTAGAACCTCCCAAATTTGCATTTAAAATCAGTTGGGCAAACTGACCTAAGGTGACATTGGTATGTTGCCTAAGCAGTTGCTTGCATGTGATGTTTGCTTGGCAACCTATGTTCAAGAGAGGCCCAAGATGAGGTAACAAGATTGTTAGCAATATATGCTGAGCCTGAAGGAAGGCTGCCTAGGCCAGAAAGCAATGAGAAGATGGGTTTGGTTCAAGGTCCAGTAGAGAATACAATTTATCTTATTTATTCATTTATAATTTCAATTATATACAGTCCTTCCCTGAATTCACAGAGATCGGGGCAGTTAACAAAAGAAAATACACAATATAAAATAAAAAAATAAAAAAGCTAGAGGTAACATCAGGTGGCGCCAAAATAAATACAGTATGTATTACTGCCTCGCAGCAGGTGAAAGAAAGCAGGGTGGGGGAGGGGAAGGGAGTGCCAGATAAGGTGGAGCCCATCGCTGTCCTCAACCAAAAGTCTGGTGGAACATCTTTGCCTTGCACACCCTGCAGAACTGCGTAAGGTCCCGCAAGGCATGGATGTTATTTGGCAGAGAGTTCCACCAAATGGGAGCCAGGGCTGAAAAGGCTCTGGTCGAGGACAGCCAGACGTCTTTAGGGCCAGGGATCACCAGTAGATTGTTTTCAGCAGGGCATAAGCTCTTCAGGGGACATACCAGAGGAGGCAATCCCAAAGATACATGGGTCCCAGAGGTAACTGTGTGTTTCTTTCCAGCTGCTGGAGGTGAATAAGCAGTGGGACCATCAATTCCGGTTCATGAAGCAGCAATATGAGCAGAAGGTAATGGCAGGATACCAGCATCTTGCTCAAGGGCAGCTGTGCATGAGTTCTGCATAAGCAAATTTGCCTCGGTAGTGTGGTTGACTGGAATAAATACTAATGGGGAAATAAACCGGATCCTTCTCTGTTTCTGGCACTCCCTCTGTACGGTTGTAACCCATCTATGACATTTTTGTGTTTCCTTCTTCCCATTCACTTGTCTGCATCAAACCTAAGCATTTCTGTTCAGTGACTGGTACCATTTTTCACACCATCAAGGTCATAAGCTCAAAATGGTTGCCTTTTTCTTCCTGACAGATAACAGAGCTACGGCAAAAGCTTGCAGACTCCCAGAAAGCAGTCGTGGAGTTAGAGGCAGAGAGGGAGCAGAAGCAGCGGGATTTTGATCGTAAGCTTCTCTTGGCGAAATCCAAGATTGAAGAGGAGGAGGTGAGTCTCTTGGAATCTGTAGGCAGCTGGTTGCCCGACTCCTCACAAATAGGTTTATTCTATTTTACTATGGTAACCTTTATTTCACCTTTGTTTATTTTACCCAGGGTAACCTTTGCAACTTCATCTTTTAGTGTAAAGCAGGACTTCTTGCAAAATTCATGCTTTATCAAGTTTAAAAGCCAAGTTACCTAAACCCTATTATTAAAAGCTACCCATTTTGGATTTTTTTAATGTGTAAAAGCAGTTCTGTGTGTGGGTGGGAAGTTTCGGATTGAAGCTACAGTGCTGGGAGCAGGGCTGAATTCTGCCCCCCTACATGCACCATTTTCCAAATACAAATAATTCTTCCACGTCCCCAACTGCTATTAGTCCTGCAGAGGAAAACAAACAAATACCTGAGGGACTTGGTCAGTTGAGATCAGGAAACTAGCAGAAAGGGGAAAGATTTAAAACCTTCCTTCCCCAGCAACCCCGATAAATCTCCTGCTTCCCCGCCAACCAGTTCCGTACAGCATTTACATATATATCGTTCTTAATCATTTGCACCTAAGCCATGCTGGCAGAAAAATAATTTTGATGGCTTTATTACCGATCTTTTATCTGACTTTTGGGGGCCACAGAGTCTTTGAAGCAGATAACAATTGATCATTTTAATCTTTAGACTGTTTTTAAATACTCAGCTAGTGAAAAAGACATAAACATGCAATATAAGTACCACAACTGCTGATTAATAGAACAGTAGGATCAAAATCACCCATTGCCAAAGTACAGCTGAGGAAAAAGAAAACTCTCTGCCTTCCTCATAGGGCCGAGCATTTGCACAAATAAGGTGCCACAAATAAGGTTCCCTGTTGCTAGGGAAGAAAGGCTTATTGCAGTCCTGACTTTATACTGAGCAACAGGCATTCTTCTGCTCTGTGCTTGATTTTTAAATATTACCGCTTGTATTCTGAGAAAAAGGAATTGTAGGAAACCCGCCTGGAGGGGAATAAGGTTCCAAGAAGGGAAGTGTGTGTGTGTGTGCATGCTGTCTTTTGGCCTCCTGACTTTCAGTTAATCACTGTGGTGTAGTTCGTAAAAGGTATGATCAAACAGCTGAGATGGGCTCTAAGCCTGACTAATTAACTTGGTGGTAGATGAATTGAATGGTACCTTTGACAAAGGAGTATAGGACTTTTTGAAACAGGGAAGGAGGAAGATGAATCTGAGCAGTGTGTTTTAACGAGTTCCTTTTGGGGTAGGTGTAGAGTTTTTTGGGGGGGGGTTATTAAACTTTCCACACATATGCTTGCCAATCTGAGGGTACATATTCTCATGTAGTCTGCAAGACAAGATTCTCACATTTAAGGAAAAAGCAGACTTTCTGCTTGCATGGGCTTTCTTTCTTTTTTTGCTCCAGTTCATTCCTATCTGGTTCAGTGCTAGGGAGAAAGGGTCATAGAACTGGGTTCTTTTTTTGCTCCAGTTCATTCCTATCCGGTTTAGTGCTAGGGAGAAAGGGTCATAGACTGGTGTCATTGATGTAAAGCTTTAACTGTTGTCCCTCCCAGGCAGAAAAGGAGAGGTACAGTGCAGAAGTGAAAGACCTCAAGCAGCAGGTGAAAGTACTGCAGGATCAGCTGGTTCCAGTCACCAGGCAAAAGGAATACCAGAAAGAGATTCTTCGGCTAAACAAGGTGAGCAGCCTTGGAAAAAATAGTCCCTCCAGATCTTTTTTCCCTCTTCTCCATAGTAACTCCTGATTTCTTCCTGCCCTTACGTCACAGTTACAGACTTTCCTGGACATTAGAATGGTCCTGTTGCCATTGCTGCAACTGGCAAATGTTACTTGCCTTGGTATGAGGCTGTGATATGTCCAGAAACGTGGCTTTACAGGAAGACTTTCTAGCTGTTTTCTGTGTCCCCTGTTCATCCCGCAGGCCTTAGAAGAGGCTCTGAACGTTCAGGCCTCTGCACCTTCTGCCTCCAGGAGCCCAGCTGAATCCAGTCTGAATATCCAACAGCAGGAGGTGGTGACCCAGAATGAGCTCCTGAAGCAGCAGGTATGGGGAACGCGTTCATTCAAAGCAGGGCTAGCCTTGGTTTGAGGGAAAATAGCAAGAGAGCTTTATTGTGTTTTCAGACTGCTGCCCAGGGCAGTGATTCCCTTGCCAACTTTTTTCATAACCCATCTCCCATGTGCAATAATATATTACAGTAGCCCTTTTGAGTGGTGTTGCTTTGAGCTATAGTGTGATATGCCCTCTTGATTTTGTATCCCTGGGCAACCTTGCAAGTTCAGAAGATGTGAACTGTGCATGTGGGTAACATTGACACTCTTTGTAGCACTGCCTCTTGTGGCTTCCCAACATTTGTGGGTTATGATGGGAAAGGAAAAGGGGCTGTACATATCTGTGTGTGTCAAAGAGAGGAGAAGAAGTCTGTGTTCACTTTTTTCTCAATTTGTACGGGTATAACTTGTGTGTCCTGGAAAGCTATAGTGGTAGTGGAAATCACATATTGTAGGAAAATACACATAGAGGAGAGGAGCTGAGGGGTGCCATGTTTTCAGTCTTTATTGTTGTTGATCCTTATGAAAAATGCTGTGAGATTGGGTCCCCATTAGTCCCATTTTATCCTGTGGCTCAGAGACAGTGACTCGTATAAGCCTGCGTGGTGAGTTTGTGGTAGAACCTGAACACAGGACTCCCAAATTTAAGTAATGTGCTCAATCTATTGGCACATACAATCCCTCTCTCTTGGTTCCTGTGCTTTCACAGCTTGTAGTGGCATGAGCATTCTGAGGCTGAAGAAATGGTCTTTCTTTCCTGAGCAGTGGTCACACAATATCTTTCTTTGCTATAGGGTCATGTGCTTCCTGTATTAATGATAGCATGTGGAAATAGCTCTGAAATGAGACCTTGGCTATTATCAGTCAGCAGAACTTTACCTCTTTGGTACAGTTAGAAGCTGAAAATAAGTAAATGTGGGAGGAAAAAATAGTAAATGTATGAAGAGTCACTTTTTTCAGATAAATTTATTCAGAGCTACACAACAAATTTTGAAATTATATGTGTACAAAATCTTTATAGTGTGCCCTGTTACTTTTTCTTGAAATCAATGTAGGCCTGTTTTACACAGTGCTCCCATGTGGCCCTGTGATTTGAGTTATCTCCTGTTTCTGGCAGGTCAAGATCTTTGAGGAGGATTTCCAGCGGGAACGGAGTGACAGGGAGAGAATGAATGAGGAGAAGGAAGAACTGAAGCAGCAGCTGGAGAAACTTCAGAAGCAGTTAACACATATCAGCAACCAGGTAGGGACTCAAACTAGGGAGGCTGCTTTTCTGGAGCTCCCTTTGGGTAGCTACAATGAGAAGACAACACAAGGAAGGTTTTGGGACAGGAAAGCAGAACATGCCACTTCTGGTCCGCAGTCTTGGCACACAAATTCTAAGGCCTAAAGTAGGGAAACTTGGGGAGTGACCTACTGAAGGAGCCCACCCTCCTCCAGTCTCTCCCCCCCCCCAATTTAAAGCACCCCCATGCCCAGAATTGTCATTTTCCGTGATTCCTGCATATTTTTTTCCTGTAGAGCAAACAACAGCTTCAGTGAGGAAAATTTATGTCAGGAAAACAGCAGGGTGGGAGGGGTTTAAACAGTGCTCCCCGTGCCAGAACCCTGACCCATTTGCCTCCCTCCCAGCCCCGCTGCCACTAGCAGTTTTTTAAAAGTATGGAAGATCCTGTTGTGGCTGTCTGCCACCAACCTAATGCTGAATTGCTTTTGTTGTGTCTTTTTGTATTTGTTCTGTTTTATTGTCTCTGGCCAACCCATGCGGCAGCGAGGAAAGGTGTTTGTTGCTATTTCTTCAGTCTGGACAATGTCTCGGCTCCTTCCTTATTGTTGCCTCCTCTCATTGTCTCCCCTTCAGCTGCGGGTCTCTAAAGAGGATTGCCAGAAAGAAAAAGAGGAGAAGGACAAGTTGAAGAAACTGCTCAAACAGTACAAGCAGGTAGTGAATGCTGTGTACTTGGGCCCAGACTATTTACCTGCAGGCAAAAGAACAGTCAGACCTCTGTGGCTTGAGCCATAATTAAACCCTGCCTATGCAGCGGGCAGCCACAGTGAGCCCTGGAAGTGGTGCTTAGAAACCAGAGTCCAGCATCTCCGACTTCATTTGCCTACATAATTTTTGGTAACTTGGTTTGGGCCTGTTCTAAGGGCCTCTTCTAAATTCCTTCATGAAAACACAAGTGCAGGGAAACGAGCTTGAACTGTGTAACTGGGAAGTGCCATTTCTGGGCTGAGAGTTTCAATTGCATCACCTGCTCACCACATACATAACCTCTTCCCTGCATTGCTGTGGATGTTACTGTGTGGGACAATGTAGGGTTAAGGGCCACTTTACACTGCTGACGGGCATCTAAGTGCTTTTCTTTGTTAAATGTGAATAGCAAGGTCTTAATGGCAAGGGAGAGTTTCAAAAGGAAATACGTTTGGGAAAGTAGCAGGAATAAAACAGCCGAACGTAGTAGATATTAAGAGCTATACACCACACATGAGAGCTGTTTTCATTGACATTGCTCAAGAAAAAGATATTTCAGCAACGGACCAAAGGGATTCCTTTAGTAGAAGATAGACAGGAACTCGTGCAGAGATGCTCCAACTTTGATTTTTATGCAGTAAGCAAAAGAGTTGGACTTTTATTTTTTTGGCTGTCAAGTCGCAGCCAACTTACGGCAACCCCTTAGGGTTTTCAAGGCAAGTGGTGTTCAGAGGTGGTTTTGCCATCGCCTGCCTCTCTGTAGCATCCCTGGACTTCCTTGTTGGTCTCCCATCCAAATACTAACCAGGGCTGACCCTGCTTAGCTTCCGAGATCTGACAAGGTCGGGCTAGCCTGTAAGGCTAGCCTGCAAGACTCCCTCAATGGGAGCACATCCAGCCTGTGCTGAAGACACTGCACTGGCTGCCAATAGCATACCGAATTCACTTCAAGGTGCTGGTATTGACCTTTAAAGCCCTATATGGCCAGGGTCCGACATACCTGCGGGACTGCCTTTCCCCATATATACCCCAGAGAGCACTACGGTCAGGGTCACAACATCGACTGACCATTCCAGGCCCTAAGGACACCAGGCTTGCTCCCACCAGGGCCAGGGCCTTTTCAGTGGTGGCTCCATACTGATGGAACGAGCTCCCGGAAGAGATCAGGGTCCCTGCGGGACCTCTTACAGCTCCGCAAGGCCTGCAAGACAGAGCTCTTCCACCAGGCCTTCAATTAGGAGCCGCCCTCACCACTACCACCAACATCTGTGACTATAGGTTGGCCTTGGCAGGATGAGTGTGGCACACCATTGCGCAATGCTGAAGACCTCTGAACTGAAAATAACTGTTGTATATTATAATGTATGCCATCTTGATTAAAGGTAAAGGTAAAGGTTCCCTTTCTCGAAAGCCAGTCGAATCCGACTCTAGGGTTGCGGTGCTCATCTCCGTTTCAAAGCCGAAGAGTCAGCGCTGTCCGAAGACGTTTCCGTGGTCATGTGGCCGGCATGACTAAACATCTTGATTACTGTACATCAATTACTATCACTAGCACTTTAATAATTAGATCGTTTTAATATTTATAATGTTTAAAATCTTTTAACTTTTGTATATGGTTTTATGGTACTGGGTAAGCCGCCCCTGAGCCTGTTCGCAGGAAGGGCAGGGTATAAATTGAAGTAATAAATTAATAAATAAGACTTGTTCCAACTTGGACTGGATGATTCTGAGGTACAGAGAAGGAATGTGACTTTGTCAAACCCAGTAGCCATGTTTGAATGGAAACTATCTGGTGTCTCAGTCACAAGACTGCAATATCTCCCCCTCGTATGTCATGGTGCTTTAAAAATTTCACAGGGCTGAAATCCCTACAGCAGATCTTACCTGTTTTGACCTAAATGCATGGAGAGCTGCCTATACTTAACACAGCCTTTGGTCGGTGTAGAATGGAGAGGGGAGAGCAATGCGTCTCATCCTGAGCTCCTGGGAGGATGGCCAGGATAAAAATGTGATGCATATTCAGCACTGGAAAGCCGCCCCTACGTCCTAATGTTGCCTTTCCTGGCAACACTCAGACCACAGTGTTCTCTGGGTCATCCATAAACTGGATGACAGGCAGAGATGAGACAAACAAAAAGACAGGACTTCTAGTACCCGATGATCTGGTAGCAGTGTCTGTAAATCATTAGCCTCTTATGTCCTGGGTTATAAGTGCATGCACTGTTTTGAACGCCGTGCTTTCTTTCTCTTGCAGCATTCCGGCGACAGATTGCACCCAGAGCCACAGCCAGGACCAGTGGCCCCAGTCTACCCCATGTACCAGTTCCCATGTATCCCTCCAGTCCCACCACATGTATACCATGGCTACGAGGACTGGCAGCAGATCCACTACCCGCCATCATCAACAATAGCAAACGAGCGCCCTCCCGTTCAGAATTTCCACCGTTTCCCTCCCGTGAGTTAACTAAATGAGATTGCAGTGGGGCAAGTGCAGCACTCGCTTGACCTTTTCTTTCAGAAAGGCTGAGACTCTCAGGATTGTGTCAGATCCTGTGGCGCGGGCAGGAGGATCTTCAGAATGGACAGCCTTGGCTCTGCCCCTTGCCCACTGCTCTTCCTGTCCGTGCATTGGTGGCAATTTAATATAGAGAAATGAAGCATCCACGTTGAAGCGCCTGGTAACTCTCCACCTTGCTTTCTTCCTCCCTTTAGCCAGAATACACTTGGGGTCCACCATGTGTCGTAGCACAAAATCAGAACTCACAAGCAGTGGACAGTGCAAAACAGCTCCCCAAGGAATCTGGTAAGGCACAGATTCACACTCTGTTTTGTAGGAATTGCTTGGGGCTTGGTTGGATGTCACTACTGCTTTTTCCCATCTTTCATGCTGAGGGGCTGTGATGGCCTAGGGTTGTATCCAGACTAAATTTCCGGCCCAGGAACAGGGGTGGGGTAAATTCCACCGCTCGCACCTTCTTGCAGCAGAGCCCCTCTTTGTCCCTTCTGCTCTTCCTGAGGCTCCCCAGTCCCACAGAAGCAGCATTTCTGGGAGATCAGTGAGCTGTGCAGCTTCTAAAGCTAGGCTTGACCAGAGTTAGTAGAATCGTGTTGGGCATTTCATTGTTAGAAAATGAAGCACACCCCTTTGCTTGTGTTCTGCAAAACTTTTAAAAATCCATCAGTGTTTGAAATATTGCACGTCTTTTCTGGAATCTGTGTTGCTGAATAGATAGGAACTCTCAGTCTGGGGCAGGTGATGCTCTGTATTATTGGTGCTGGGGGGGACGGGACAGTGGGAGGGTTTCTAGTGCCCTGGCCCCACTGGTGGACCTCCTGATGGCACCTGGTATTTTTGGCCACTGTGTGACAGAGTGTTGGACTGGATGGGACACTGGCCTGATCCAGCATTGGCTTCTCCTATGTTCTTATGTCCACCATCATGAATATTCAGTGGGCATCTGACTCTGGATTCCACAGTGGGGTGATTTGGAGTTTGGTCCTATATGAGGGGAGGGGCTGTGGCTCAGTGGCAGAGCGTCTGCTTGGCATGCAGAAGGATCCAGGTTCAGTCCCCAGCACCTTCGGCTAAAAGGATTAGATTGTGGGTGATGGGAAAGACCTCTCCCTGAGAACCTGGAGAGCTGCTGCCACTGCCAGCCTGTGTAGACAATACTGGCCTTGATGGATCGATGGTCTGATTCAGTATAAGGCGGTTTCATGTGTTCGTGTGATCTGAAGGCTTGTGGCATTTGACTCCAAGAAGACAAGGACTCGAATACAATTTTTGCAATATGCCTGTGTTCTTTCAGATCCCACAGGTCATGGGCTGCCCAAAAACCAAAGGCCTACTTAGTTCCGTGCCGATGGGACATAGCATCAGATGTAGACTTGCAGCATGTATGTGGACCTGCATATGCAGAAGGCCTCCTTGTGCTTCTGGACACAGATCATGGTTTGTATATACAGAATACATACGCTCAGGACAATAGCATCTTCAGCTGGATTGTCTGAAGACGTGCGGCATGTGCTGCAGAAGAGCGGAAGTGCGCTTTGGGGAAACTGCCGATAGAGGAACCTGTCTGTGTTGCTTTCTCCCAGCACTTTGGATCAAGGACTTGCTGTGCATCAAGGTTTCCATGGCAAAGGAGTGGCTAGCCGACTCCAGCATCAAATGGTGGGAGTGCCCTGTGTCAACTGAACCTAAATTTAGCTGATTACCTTTACATTTATGACGTGGTGTTTACACTTATTTACAACACAAATATTTGGTATGCAAGATAGCTTTTGCAGAAGAACTGTCCTTTATTGTGGGCAAATGCCTGGACAGACTAAAGACTCTGAATCTTCGCTAGGAAACAAAAACAAAAAAAAATGAAATTGAATCCATGTTTTGTGTTTCATTCACATGTCTCTAATGCATAGGAATAAAAGTGAAAGGTGCCTTCTCTGACTAGCTTCTTTTTGAGGACTTATAGTTGTAGTCCAGGGGTTTAGCCAAAGTAAAAGCTGTTTGATTCTCCACCAAAGACTGCTGATTTAAACTAGTGCTTGTTCATCTGCAGCATCCAGCTCTGTTTATAAATATGTTGCAAATGCCCTCCTTTTTAGACATGGCAGCTCCCATGTGTCTCCCTTCCTGGAGGCTCTGTTCCAGTTTCTGATTGCACTGCATGGGGCACAAAGAAGTAGCACTGGTATCTTAACTGCTGGGGTGCAGGAGTAGGCTAGTGGGTTCCCACCCCTCAGCTTCTCTCCTGCTTTGGGGTGGCCTGTGTCCCGAGTGCAGAATTATATCGGTCCTTAGCAAGGTGCATCTTGCTTTCTTTTGATAGAGGAAATGTAACAATGGAAAGAGTTGATCACTGGGTTTTGCGAGCATTTTCTCTGAGAACGATGGTGGGCAAGGTGGCGATAGCTGCCCATGAAAGGTCTTTGTGGACATTCAGTGTATAAAATCAGCGAGTAAATGGAATGTAACCCATTTGGCTGCACCTAGGTAGATCAACAATACAGTCCTAGGACTACTTTCCTGGGAGTAAGCTGAGTAGGATTCGGAGCAGACCTACTTAGGATTGCACTCTGAAAGTATATTTGGTTGTGTATTCCTGGTGCTGTCCCTACTGGTTACAAGGCTCATGATCAGAAGCTTTGATGATGACAAAACAGCTGGAGTGTGTGATCACGGGAGAGCTTCCCCACTGGCATTTGCACCCACTGGCTTCCTCCAAGGCTCCCTCTCCGCTCTGCTCATCATCCAAGCTGGCTATTCCAATAAAACCAAAGCATGCTTGTGGAAGTTGGAAAGTTTGGAAATAAGAGAGGGGTTACTTTACGGTTCACGTGAGTAGAAGAGGAACAACAGGAAAGTGACAGGCCAATAAAACCAAAGCATGCTTGTGGAAGCTGGAGAGTTTGGAAATAAGAGAGGGGCTACTTTACGGTTCACGTGAGTGGAAGAGGAACAACAGGAAAGTGACAGGTTGTCAAGAGAGAGGGCTGAATTAATAGGGTAGGTGAGAGACGTAGCATGGGGGATATATAGGATATGGAATAAGGGGAAAGGCATCTAGAAAACGGCTAGGCGGAAATAAGGTAGTTAATTCACTCAAGAGAATGAAGAAGAAGCAGAGAGGGAGGATGGAGAAGATTTACAAGATTGTACTTGTAAAGAACTTGCTTGACCAGGTTTCTTAGTGCTTCCGTTCCACAATGGTATCCTTTATTTCCATGTGTCCCTGAAACTAGTTTCAATAATGATTGCTCCAAGAGATCACTGGTGTCCCCCCAAAAAAAGAATCTGGTCAGTTAAATTGTTGTGTACAATCTTCAATATGAGTAATGGTAGGGGTGGTATAAAATGCCAAGTATGTTCTGCCATATTAGTTGGAATGGTCAGAAATTAAAATCTGTTCTCCTTTGAAACTAGAAGATATATTCCCAAATAAACAGCCATGAAACTCTTTGGAGAAGCAGTCCCTTCTGGTAATAACCATAGAAGTAGTTCCCTTTCTCAAATACAAAGAAAAATAATAAATGCCCTGGACAAATGTACTCAGGCACTGAAAATGTGTGTGCCGTGACATTGTTTAAATTTACCTGTATAGTGAGCTCACATTGTCATAAGAAAGTATGTTACTGATTATTTACAAAGCGGATTGTACCATAGAATGAAGTGAGGGAAGGAAAGAAGGGGATTGACTTTTTCTTGTCTGTATCTCTCTGAATGAAGACAACCTTTCCTGTACCTTTACAGGGACTCTTGGTGTGCATTGCTGCTATGTTCAGACATGGCTAATATTTTTTGCTAGCTAATCTTCCTGTTTTGTGACATGTGTAGAGATACATAGTAGTGAGCAAGTGAGACTTCTGCTTATTACATCCTTCTGTACATTTTAGGCATTTTGTTTCTACAAAATGGCCTTAATTATAAATACTGGTTTGATTTTATTTTATCCTTTAATAAAGTATGAGTTTTTCCACACTATACAGTGCCCAAGGTGTCATATCAGACTCTCATTCCTATGCTATGTGTTTTGTGGATGTCTTGAACACTGAAGTGTCCACTAAGTTGCCATGTAAAACAAAAGGGTTCATAGAAGAATACCCTGAAACATGTTTCTCTTCCCTTCTCCCCCCTCACCCCAAAAGATCCTCTCCTCTTTTCCTTCCAGCTCTCGTGCATCCAAGCAATATATTGTCTTCTCTTTGACTCTATCCTTGCTTAGTTAAGCACACCAGCATAATATCTACAAAAGCTTTGATTGTCATGCAAATTAAATCCCCCATAGCTGCCGTGAACAGGTTGCAGCACAGTTTAAATAAGACTCTGGGCCTATGAAAAGTCACAAAGAGAAAGCCCTTTGCCTTTCAAGCATCACATTTAAATGTGGTTGTGATTGAAGAATATAATCTATAAACCAAGAAGCCCTATATTTGAATTTCTTCACAGCTATGACCTACTCGATATCCATATATAAGCCATACCCCCTCCCCCTAATGTGTTGTACAGGAATCCTAGTACTGATGTACTTTGTGAGGTTTTTTGTAAGGATGACTTATGTGAATTGCTCAGAATGTCCCAAAAGTGCTGGACAAATGCTGGATTATATACTATTAGAATGGACACGGAATTCCTCATCAAAATGCTAGACCAAACACATTTCTTGAAGGAGAGTCTCCAGAAAGCAAGTTGCATTGAATCTTTTTATTGGGCAAGTTTTAGACAGAATGAGAGATTGAAGGCAGGCAAGGCAAGGATCTTGGGGATGAGAAGAAGATCACATCTCTGCAAAAGCAGAGCAGCTTGAATGCACAAGAAGCCACTCTGCTGCCTTGCAGGTTTGGGCTAAGTCCACTCGTTGGGAGCTTTCAGACCTAACCGTCATACTGATGCATCTTTGGTCTCCCCAGAACCCTGTCTCCTCCGGCCCACTCTCAAGACACACAAAAGACTTTTGAGAATTTTCAGTCCATAAACACTCTATTTGGTTGGGTCTGATCAGCATGAGGGAGGGAGGGAGGGAGGGAGAGAGAGAGAGAGAGGGAGAACATACTTTATCCAGAGGTGACAGAAATGCTGTCTTATCACTGAGGCTTTGTTGGTTCACAACAGGAGTGGAATCCTCCAGTTGTTAGCACATCACTGCAAAGCAAGGTCAGCAATGGACAGAAGGCATGGGGGTGACTCAGTGTGGCATACTTTCTCCTTTTTCATAAATAAGTTAACAAGGGGAGGGACAAGCAATCTCCATGTGTGTGTTTTTTCTGTTGCTAAATTTCCACTGCCCAGATGTTCCACGATGTTTCTGCTCATAATCAGTTAGATGTTAAAGATTGTAACGGCCTGCAATAGGGGCCTTAGAAGTGTATTGCCTAGGATGGCACTGTCGGATTCTGACACAGTACAGTGGGACTGGTTAAGGAGTGTCTCTAGTTAACTAGTTCAGGGATGGATCCTGTTTGCCAGTGTGAAAACTGAAGTGGGAGATGGGGGCATGGGCTGGAGTAAGTCAAAGTCACGTTGCCCCATATGTATTGGGAAGTCTGTACATTAAGGAAAGGCGCTACGCTCTATACTACACAGCACGAGCAAATGGGCAGACTGACAACTGCTCTTAAAGAGCGTTCTGTCTTTTAAGGATTATTCACATTCATAAGGTATGAAGATCTAATCTTAGATTTATGGTTTGGTTCTGGATAAAGCAGCATTCTCCCCTCCCCGCCCGCAGCTCACTTCTCCGAGTCTGTAGGGGCTCTAGCCATACAGCATCCCCTGCTCCTTCATATATTGTATGATGTCATTCTTCACCGTGGCAACGTTAGTCTTGTGATACCATCTCAGCACAGGCTTCCCTTCTGTACTGACCAGAAACTTCTCAAAATTCCACTTGATATCATGGATCTTCAGAGGATGCCAGAAAAGTCTCCCAGGAACATCACCAAAGCTATCTGTAACAGGTGGACAGGCGTTCTGCCGGGGGGAAAAACCAAAAAGGAACTTTCAATGTGGGGGACAGGATTTCAAACCAAGAGTCAGAAAAGGGGCCTTCAAATACTGTTAAATGCTCAGAAGCGCAACTCATGTCCTTTGTTTCTGTGTTCAGATGGCCTATTGGAGATACAGTCAACAAGAAACAGAAGCCATTCAAACAAAGGAAGCCAGAACTATATTTCAGGCCTACTGTATTTCAGTCTGTTAAGAGACAAATTACCCTTTATGCATACGTGTCTATAACAGGGGCACAACTTGTAAAAACAGATTATTTAGGAGGCTGTGATTTTGGCCAGAGGACCCGCAGGAGGAAGAGAGAGGCTTAATGCTTTCTCTCACAGCTGTCTTCCCGCTCATTATTGCTGCCTTCCCAAACTGCTTTCCCCTCCTACGTGGTACTGTCAAGAGGTGTTGGGGGGGGGGGGAGGATGTTGTGTTGCTGGTGCAGCACTGTCCTTGGGTGGCCAACCCCCCACCAGTAGAGCCTGGAGATCTCCTGGAATTACATCTGATCTCCAGACTACAGATATTTGTTATCCTGGAGAAAATGGCTGCTCTGGAGGGTGGACTAGGGTTGCCAAGTCCTACCTGCAGCGGGGGACTCCCGGTTTGCTCCTGGAGTGCACGCGCGCAAAGCAACCACGTCACCCACCACGTCAACCACCACGCCGGGCACGTTGGGGGCGGGGCCACGACCATCCGAGGGAAAGCCATAGAGTTTCCCCTCGGATGAATGTGGCCCCGCCCCCAGCGTGCCTGGCGTGGTCACGTCACTTCCGGGTGACATGCACGTCGCGTACTTTGGGGGTGGGGTCCGCCCCGGGGCCCGATCCAGCGGTGGCGGGGAACGGGCCTCTGGGGCGGGGGTTACCCCGCCCCCCGGGGGGACTTGGTAAGCCTAGGGTGGACTGTGTGGCATCACAGCCCTACTGAACTCTTTTCCTTTCCTAGACTCTGCCCTCCCCAGACTCCACCTCCAAATATCCAGGAATTTCCCAACTCAGAGTTGGCAGTTCTAACTGTCCCAGGTCTTCTTACCACAGTGCACTAAGCCCCTATGGCCTAAGAATTGAAAGCAGGGAGGGCTGAGCATAACACCCTGGTCTTCCACCTATTCTCCAGCCTTATTCCTTGCTAGATCAGGAGCTAAGATCTGTCACATCCTCATATGCCTACCTTGTCCCTCTAATAAAGGACTATCCCCAGTCTGCACAGGCCTGGTAAGCGGCATTGGCTTCTCCAAGGGAGTGGACTGCTCCCGTGGGAATGGCTCAGCCCCTAGGATGCTATCCCTGTTGGTTCTGCCAGATCTGCCTCCTCAGTCAATCTCTTCCTTCTCCAGATTCAAACCTCTGGATTGGTTTGCCAGACAGCTGTACGACAGGTTTAAAGGGCCCATGAGTCACATTGTGCCCTCAAGCCTCAAGCATATCAGGCTCAGTTAATCACCCAACCACCAGGAATCGGCCCCTGGCCTAATCCGCCATGAGTGGGGGGGGCACCATTGGGCTACCAAGGTGCCCATTCCTCTATTTGGCCTCTGGGTGGCTCCCAAAGGCTACCACTGACCAGATCAGCAGTTGTTGAGGCCATCTCTGCTGCCTCCCAACAGCTACCATGACAACTGTTTCCCACCTAATCCTTAATGTACCAGGCAAAAAGAACCCCATCCTAAATCCTTCATATTCACTTTGGATAAATAAAATCCATTGTCCTTTGTCATGATCATGTCCTTTGCCATGATCTTCAGATCATGAGCCAGGAAGGAAAGACAGCACAAGCAAAACAGCTGATGATGCAAACATTTACCTTTAGAAAGGTATAGATCTTTTGTTCTTTCTCCCCATTCACATCTGCTTTTTGAAAGAGCTGGAAATTTGGGACAAAGCCTCCCCCGGGTCTTACATATCTGGAATGAAAGGAAAACATGTCACAGACAAGCCGAAACAAGACACAGGCAGAACCAGATTAAGACATGCTGAGGGCTTAAGCTACGTCAAGTTTAAGAGGCCACATAACGTTAACAGAAGATGTATATTAGAACACATGGAAAGAGGACATCCTTTGCTCCCCAGTCTAGGAATGGCCAGACCCCATGCCCTGCCCAGTCACAATCCATACCTGCCTTTTCATTATTGTTGCCAGGGAAATGAAGCTAAGAGCCCCAGGGAGTAAAGGGCTGTCAGCGCCCTGCTTACCTTCTTGTCAGAGAGAGGCAGGAGTAGAATGATTTTAGAAATGCACATGCATAGGAGCCCATATAAGTATTCAACATGATGTGGCAACTTATTTTAGTTTTTTTGCCCCCTTATTAAAGCAAGCTATAGAAGGAGATAGCCAGGAAGATGACAGTTGCAGGGAATTTAATAGAGAGGGAGTTTGCTCATGAGTGCCCTCATGTGTGGACAATCTAGTCTGCTTAACACCCAAGCAAGTAATTCAACTGGTACTCACTTCAACGAGTTAAGGATTTCATTGTTCTCGCCAGGTTCTTGTTTTCCAAAATGATTGGATGGAAAGCCCAGGATGACTAGGCCGTAAGGCCCCAGTGAAGTTTGTAGTGCATTCAGTTCTGCAAGACAGGCACAAATTCAGTAACACAGAGAAGTCTTGCATCTGGATCTATAGATCCAGTCTCGAAGCCCTAAGAGCAAATACGGCCTTGCCTTGTCAAGAAGACCCTCACCAATATGTCGAAACAGTCTTCCAAAAATTCAGTTTCATTACTTTTCTTGGCTGGGCTAACCTTAGGCTGCGGTCACATGGAGCATTAGCCACACTAGAGGGACGGAAGATAGGCACTTCCCACTCACCACTCATTTCTATTTGCCTAATGTTACTACAGCAGTTACACCCATACCCAAGAATGCTGAGAACTCAAGTTTGGTGAAGGAGTTAAACATTCTCTGTTAGATGCAGGTAGGGAACCCGTGTTGGTCTGAAGCAGCAGAACAATGTTTGAGTCCAGTGGCACCTTTAAGACCCACAAAGTTTTATTCTGGGTATAAGCTTTCTGGCCTCTCACAGTATGACAGTTCTCAGGGCTCATTGGGGAAAGTAATGTCAATAAGGCGACATAAACCTGTACCAAAGATATGCCACAGATGAATAATGGGATTGTTTATACTAGCTATCATCCATGGAGCATGTAAAGATAATAAGCACTTTCTGGATTAGAGAAGTGGTCTACCTAGTCCAGCATCCTGTTTTCCACAGTAGCCAACCAGATGCCTTTGGGAAGCCTACTAGCAGGTCACAAAACCTTCCCTACTACTATACCCCACAGGAACTGGTGTTAGAGGGATGTGAGGCAGTAATAAAGACTAAAGCATCTCAAAACGCACCCAGAAAGCATTTCCAAACCCGCAAAACTATCTAAGCAAACTTCCATCCTTTGGGGATTAAGAGGCTGGTTTCTTAGCTTTCTAGACTGTTTCAGCTCCAGTACCTCTGAGTATAAAAATTAAATACTGTAGCGAGTGCTTCTTTTCCCAGCTGGAGATCTTACCAAGGTACTGCATTGTGAGTCCTCAGTAGGAGGCCACATTGACAAAGAGGATCAACTTCCCAGCATACCGCCGGAAGGGGATGTACTCATCACCATCTATGGTAAGGGCCCCATAGTTATAGACTGTTCCATCTACTGAGTCATGGCAGCTGACCTGGAAGATAACAAAATGTGAAGAATGAAGAGGCGATACACAAATTTGTATATGGGCACATCTTTACAAAGGTTTTGAAAGGAAATGTTGGCACTTCATAGATTTCCCCACATGCTCCAAGACGTCTGTGCCAAAGCAAAAAAATCAGGCCAGTAATAGCACTAATTGTCAAGCCTTTGTGATCAGCTTTTGTTGTCAAATGGAGGAGGTATCTTCTCTAACCGTCACTTGCTCTTTCAATCAGCCCTACAGTCAACAGTGTAGGAACCCCCAATAAAGACATATTTTGGGGGACCAAGACATATGAGGGCACCACCAGTCAGATTGGGTTGAGTACAAAACACAAGATTATGCTGTCCTAGAGCAGCCATCCAACTGGAGGAAGAGATCTGGAGGGAGAAGCAGGTGGGGTTTCTCTCACCCTTCAATAACTGTTCTATGGTCCTGATCAGACAGGTCTTTAGATTCGCTCCAGGCATGAGTGCCTGGTGGATTTAAAGGGAATGACCAGATACTGACATCTGGGAAATGTGCCGCTTCCATGTTCAGCCCCACCCGGAAGCTGTACTTTAAAGACACCAGTTAAAGTCCGGGGCTAATGCTTGCTGACGGGCGAATCACAGACTTTCCCCCGTCTGATCGTTCCAGCATGCAGTCCTCCCATTGGGATGGTCTGACTCCAGACCATCCTGAACGGCCACCATTTAAAAAAATTCTTAGCAATATGCACATAAGCAGTTTTGTGTTTCTGAATGGCACGTGAATTTTATGAACTGCGTTAATTAAAAAGGTACCTAGAGGGAGGTACCACTGGCAGCACTTTAACCATTAAATTCCGTGCATGTGCAGAAAAACAAATACAGGTTGACATGCAGATGCGCAGATGCAAACAATGTTTTAAAAAAACCCGACCACGCGGCTCCTTCAGGTGGATGCCATCTAGACAATCCACCGCGGAGTACGCATGTGGTAAGGGAAACTGTCTGGTCGTGCAACGCCAGATAAAAAAGGTCTGTATCAAATTAAAACCAGGCCAATGGCGGGATTAGCTGCCCGTCTGAATGCACCCTATAATTGTGTAAACAGTTTTATCTGCACCTTGATTTAAAAGTCATCTGTTAGTTTACTGCCATTCTTTGGGCTAGTGAGGACCAATTTTCACTTTACAAAGTCCACACAGTAGACCTGCTGTGGTCATTCTATGCTGGGAATTTAATTTAATGTGGGCCTAACATGGATTAGAACCATGGCACACTAGGAGAGGGTGGTAAAGCCCTTACATCATTTTCTTACCCTGAAACAGCCTAGGGAGATACTATTTGCCCCCTTGGAGAAATGTAAACATACAGAAGGCTACATGTACATTTCCCCAGCAGGGCAAAGAGTAGCTCCCTGGGGCCATTTCAGGTCAGGAATATGGTAGGGAGCAGGCTTAATTCCTGTCCTCACCCACTGCAGTCCCAGACCAAACCAGCCCCCAGCACCAATTATGTTTCCATCCTGTACACATCTAGTCAAGAGTTTATATGTCCACCACCACACAAACTTTGTAATAGCAGGCTCAACCCTGAGCTGTTAACAGAAGAATACTAGAGGGAAAATTCCATCAGCCTTGCCCAGTTTGGCCTATACATTATATTGAGGCTTTATTGAGTCCCCTGTGTCTCTTTTCTCTTCACTTCTTTTGATCTGTGATTAATGAGGCCAATCCCCAACAGATTTGTTTTGTAGACTTATTGCCGTATCAGGGATGGAAAGGAGTCCCCTCTCCAGTGATCAAAACCTCTACTGACTTTGGGAACCTTCTTCCGCAATATATATCCTGGATCACATCTAGTATACAGAGAGAAAAGAATGTGTTTTCTCTAGACACAGTTTCTAGCCTTCTCACATTCTATGTGACACGGCTCTCTTGCTCAGTCCTTTGAAGTTATTTGTTCTGCAACCCTTTTCCAACAGCAGACTCGTTCTTTGCAGTGGTATCCCTTGATCAGAACTATGGGAGCAAACGTTAGGTGTGGTAAAGGGATTTAAGCCCAGGTCTCCTAGGGCAACACCACAACCACATATGTCCTCCTGTATAAGGTGAACATAACCCATCCCTACAGACTAATTTGGGTGGAAGATTCAAACTGCAAAGTCCCAGTCCTCCCATATACTCAGCAAAGGTCTTCTATTTACTTAATGTGTCACATATTTGCCTTCCGGGGTGCAGCATGGAAATTGAAAGGGTCATGACTGGGTAAATCTAGGTGCTCTCAGTTAGATGTATTTGTATCTGGCTTCAGGCATGGTTTGGAGATGTAACCTCCCTTGATCACTTTGCCTGGAAAGAGACAGGAGAAGTGTGAGTTTATCGATTCTCCTGGATCTCTCAATGGCTTTTGATACCAGCAGCTATGGTATCCTTCTGGACTGTGTTTCAAGGTAGGGACTTGAAGGCACTGTTTTGTGAGTATCTTGGTCCTTTCTTGGAGACAGCAGAGCTGTGGTCACAATGAGGCCAGTGAGTATCCCGAACATTGATTTGACCCACCCATGTCATTTTTGAAAAACAACAGCATCCATTAAAAGCAGGAGGACAGGAATGTTCCTGGTAAAAACCACATCAGTAGTGACTGTAGAAAAGAGCAAGAGTCCAGTAGTGCCTTAAAGACTAACAAAACATGTGGCAGGGTATGAGATTTCATGAGCCATGGCTCACTTCTTCAGTGACTCACGAAAGTTCATACCCTGCCACATATTTTGTTAGTCTCTGAGGTGCTGCTGGACTCTTGTTTGGTGTATGGGCAAGCCATAGTTCTGGCAGAGCTGTTCTTGAAAAAAGAGCAGTTTCTGTCAGAGCTCTCTCAGCCCCACCTACCTCACAGGGTGCCTGTTGTGGGGAGGGGAAGGGAAAGGAGTTTGTAAGCCACTCTGAGACACCTTTGGGTAGTGAAGGGCGGGGTATAAATCCAATCTTCTTCTACTCCCGCTACAGACAGACTAACACAGCTACCCATCTTAATCTATCAGTAGTGACTGGTACTCTCCCCAGGTCTACCTGCTTGACCTTCCTAGTTCTGCACACATCAGAACCAAACACATAAAAATATAATTGGCTCAGAGTGGATTTGTAATGATCACCTTCACCAGTCATCCTAGGTGAAAAAATCCCCCTTAACTATGTTTAAATGGGATAAAGGATAACTTAAGAAAGTTGTTAGTCATTAAAGTTTTTGAACTTAAAAACAGCTGTTCTTCATTGTATACGTTTCTGGAGCTAACGATCCATAGATACTAAAATACACAGAGGCACTCAGACTCGGAAGCAGGATCATAGAAGTCTCCTTTGGTTTGAGCTAATTACTGAATTTCCCCCAGTCATTTGTGGCTCCCCCGCCCCACCCTACCCTGCCCCAAGGAGGACTGGCTATGGACCTAGGAAAACTGGCTCCAGAAGGTGGTGCTAGAACCCATTGACTTAATTCCTTGCCTGTTTTAGAAAACTGACCCAAAATGTTATTGTTGTGAAAGGCTTTTGAAAAAAGAGGATTTTATTTATTGAGGGCTAATCCTGTTTGGTTAATTGCTTTCGTTTTAACTGCTGATATTATCTCAACCTATAAACCACCTTGAAAACTGACACTGAAAGGTGAATGGCAGGGAGAGCATTGGCAGGCTTAACATCTTGCAGCACAACACAGAGCAGGAATAAACAGAATCCACCTTTCCTGGATATTTCCCTTTTGTGCAGCTTGCAAGAGCATTCCTATGACAGAAACAAATGCAGCAGCAATTTTAGTTGGCTCACTTAGCATGTATCTATTGGGAGCCAAAAAAATAGTTCTGTCATGGCCAGCACATATAAACTAAACCAGTTCCTAAGGGTCAGTCCCCATCTTCTAGCTCTTGATGATCACCTGGAAACATACAGTTGTTCCTGTGATCTGATGGATACATCTAATCATGCATGGTGCCTCTTTTCAGCAGTGAGTCAGACTATCAACCTATTTGCGTCAGTCAGAAGCAGATGCTGGGCCACGCATCCATATGTAAATCCATTTTGTTTTCCTCTTTGCAGCTCCAGAATGACAGAGAGGGATCCCCTTTGCCCTTGACATTTATTCTTTCTGGTAGATATTTAATCAGGAAGTTAAACAAAAACAAGTGGATCAGGCCATTGGAGTAATGGTACAGGAAAGCCTCCTAAAACTGAGAGCAAAGCCAGAAGCGTTCAGTTCAAAGCTTCCCTTTTGAGAATAGACCACAGTCTCAGATACAGCCTTCATTTTTTACGAAAACCACGTTAGTTGGGGCTGAGCCTTCATTTTTGTTTCAAAAATAGTTGCTGTGAGCATGGAGAACTCTTTCCAAAGCACACCTATCTCTGAAGCTTTTATCTCAGGAATAATGTACAATTTCTGGCATAATGAAGAGTACAAAAGTGAAATGAGGGTGTATGAATGTTATATTATGTATCTTATTCAAAACCTATGTGTTTCTGCTCAAAATGCACCCAAGAGTATACACACACACACACACAAATAATAATTATGAGACGATATCGGTTTGAAACCTAGATCAAGGACAACCATTTTCCAAACAATTATGAGCAGCAGCAGAGGGTGAATAATTCAGTTTCTCAAGAGCAGGCTAAAAATAGCCCTGACCAGTTAAAAGATAGCCTCAAGCATTTGAACTGTTACAAACAGTTTAATGGGGTTAGCTGTGAATGAAGGCCCGTCACAGAATTCACTGCTGTGTTGTTGTTTTAAGTAACTTTGTGGAATGCATGAGTGGGATAGCATCTGTGTGCCTTTTTTATCCCACTAACATCGGAACTCCTTCCACTGCGCTCGTCCTTAGTCGCCATAGCAAGGATGTGGGTAGCCCCTGCTCCCTGCTCCTGTGCCTTTCACAGCAGTGTGATCTGCAGGCCGAGGGGTGTGTGTGTAACTGTCACATGCATGAACATGAAAAATCATCTGCTGATTTAGGCAGCTCAACTGGCTGATAAG